CAAGACCTGCCTCAGATGACCCTGGTGCTCCTGGAGGGTCTTACTAAAGACTAGGATATCATCTAAGTAGACTACTACAAATTTATCTAACCATGGTCTAAATAGGTCATTCATACAACGTTGAAAAGTAGCTGGCGCGTTGGTTAGTTCAAAGGGCATCACTATGAACTCATAATGTTCGTATCTCGTCCGGAACGCAGTCTTGTACTGGTCATCAGGATGGACCTCTATCTGATGATATCCGGACTTAAAGTCTATCTTAGAGAAATATTTGCACCCCTGCACCCGATCTAAAAGATCGTCTATCCTGGGCAGCGGTTCAACATTCTTCACGGTAATCGCATTCAAACCCCTATAGTCTATGCACATACGTAGCTCTCCTTCCTTCTTTGGAACGAACAGGACGGGTGCTCCAAAAGGAGACGAGCTGGGCCTGATCCAACCTTTCTCAAGGAGCTCGTCTAACTGTTTGCGAAGCTCCAACTCTCTAGGGGACATCCTGTAGACTGAACCCTTAGGAGTTCTACTGCCAGGCTCTATCTCTATCCTGTGCTGGATGGGTCGCGACACTACTCCTCTCGGGGACTCAGTCAAGTCTTTGAATTCTTCCAGCAGCTTGGCAATTGTTGGATCTGTGGAACTATCCTTTTCCTGGGCCTTAGTGACAGGTCTAACATAAACTACAAAGACCTGTTCCTCTAACTGCTCCTTTTTGACTAATCGCGCGAACGCGGGAGCACTGAGGCAGCAATGTGCCAAGGTATTGTCTACACCAGACACATGGAACAAGCGGGCAGTCTTAGCCTCGCCTGACGGACTAGGGAGCCTACACTCATGCTCTCTCAACTGGAGTGTGGCCCCTGCTGCCTCTCCCCAATCCATTCCTAAAACTACATCAAGAGGAAGGTCATCTTGCACGAGGAGAGTCAAAGAATGGAGGACCTTCTCCACTTTTCCATTCTGCTCTAGGCGAAAGTATGCTTGGACTCCCTCTACGTAGTCCTTAACTCGCATCGTGCGGTTGTCTGCGAGAACACTGACTATAGGGWCTATTAACTTCTGGACCTTTAGTCCTAGCCTCAGCTTCTTCAGCGCCCTACGGCTAATATAACTACGGGTAGCCCCTGAGTCTATGAGCGCCCCTACTCTACTCCTAAACACCTCTACATCTACTAAGATCAGTTGTCCCTTACTCTCCTTTTTCATTTTGGCCCAGGCTGGCATCCTCTCCTTTAACTCTTCTGCCACACCTGTGAGGGACGTGCCTAAAGAGACGCTAACACAAGCAGTCTCTCGACAGCTATCTAGGCACGGGCCTGCAACCTTTGCCATAGGCTCATGTGGGTTGGGAGTGTCCTGTTCGCGCGCGCTCACTTCTCCACATGGACTTGAAGTAGGGGCAGTTGCGACCCCTACTGGCGGCTGCCTTTTGACTGCTGGGCAGCCCAACGGGCCTGTCTATACTTAGGACAAAATTTAATTACGTGCGCCGGGTCACCACAAAATACACACTGACCCATGTTCACGCGTTCCTGCTATAATTGTCGGTCCAAGCCCAAGTCTTCCCAGGGCCTGCCCTGTGGCAAGTCGGGGTGCCAACCTCCTTGAGGTGCCCTTTCACCTCTTCGTTGTGGGGACCGATTACCCTGGCGATTTGATGGGGGACCTTGACCCCTACCTCCCGCTTGGCGGTTTCCCTGTCCGCCAACCCCTTGTGCGCCCGGTCCTCGGCCTCCCATGGCCTGGCCCCTTTGGCCCTGGCCTCCTCCTCCTCCTTGCGGCCTCCCTCCAGCCGCGACAGCAGCGTAAGACCTCCCCTGCCCCACACTACTGCCATCATCTTCAAGGCCCCACTCAATCTGATCATACGGGACCTCATCAGTACCACCTTCCTCTAACGTCAGGATCATGTGATCCTTGGCCTTTACTTGGCCTGAGATAGTACGATTCTTCCACTTCTTCCCCTTCTCCAGGTCCTTATGCCAGAAAGTGGTAANCAGGATCATGTGATCCTTGGCCTTTACTTGGCCTGAGATAGTACGATTCTTCCACTTCTTCCCCTTCTCCAGGTCCTTATGCCAGAAAGTGGTAACTGGCATACAGGACGACCTCCCTACTCAATTGATCGTATGTGATGCCGGCCTGCTGAGACTTGTCAAAGAAATGCCCGCGTAGGGCCTCTGGGATGGCACGATAAAACAACTGGACCAACTGGGGCTCAGTGACCCCGTGGTTCGGGACGGCTACCAAGTCGTCCATGGTACCCTTGAGTGCCTTGGCACTCCTCCACTGCCGTGAGTGGATCGTTTGAAGCTTGGCAGAGGCTCTTATGCCTCTCGTTGGGTCAGCGAAACGCTCCTTGAGGAGCCTGAGGAATTGGGAAAGAGGGGTGACTTTAGAATATGCAACCAGGTTGTTTTCACAACCGGCTGTATGTGCGAGAGACCTGGCGAAGCTAGCCGCTTCGTCCTTCAGGGCCTGGAAGGCCACGAGGACTTGCTCCTCCATCAGAATATGGTGTAAATAAATGTAACTATTGACACTGGCCTCCCAGTTGTCAAAGTTCTCGTCCTTCTTCCCCCCGTACGCGTCTGGGAACTTAAGTTTCACTGGGTCCTTACGTGGTCTGCCCTCTCCTTCTACAGCGGCTGCAACTTTGGCACCCTGAATGGCGCCCTCACTAAACTTCCCTACGTTGTCTCTCAATTGCTTGACTTCACCCGCAATATGGGTGACGATTTCGCGCGCAAAATCCCTGAACCCGGACCGCATGGCACTCAACGCTACATCCTGGCTCCAGCTTGCCTGGCGCTCCTCCATCCAGGCCTTGCTCAACACCTCCAGATACCCCAGTACTTTGTCCCACTTGGCCTTATCGTCTGGTTGGGCCAGCACCTCCGCTCTACACTCCTGCACCTTTGCCACCTCTGCGGTCATCTTGTTCACTTCCTCTCTCCTCTTCTTCTTCTCTCTCTTCATCCGCAGATTCCATGCTAACTTTTGCTCGTCTTCCCTCTCTCTTCGTTCCATTGGGTCTGTCATGGCCGCTAGCTCAGCGGCCAGCGCAGCCTTCTCATCCTTAGTCACATAGGACTCCGCCTCCTCGTCTTCTCCCAACGATAAATTAGCGACGCACTCGCTGATCTTCTTCTCCAGCTCAGTATCTGTCTCCCACTTCATCGTGCCACCACTACTTCCTTCCCCACTCTCAATTCTCATCCTCTCTTTCTCTTCTTCTGCTGCCGCTTCTGCTTCAGCAGCCTTCCTTCTTTCTTCCTCCTCCTGTTGTACCCTCTTCATCTCCTCCTCCAATCTCTTCATCTTCGCCGCCTGCTCGTCTGCGATAGCTTTTCACGCTCTTTCCTCTCCTTGTTCTCTCTGACTAAGGCGGCCATCTTTTCTTGCTGCTCAATGGTGTAGGGGCTAGTCTCCTTCCCACTACGGGTCTCAACCATGGTGATAAGTGTACAACCGGGTTAGTGGTTCCAAACCTCACCACGTAG